GGGAGGACAGAGAAGGAAATGTGAAACATTGTTGAGCAGGTCATGTCAGAATCAGCATCAAAGCAGGTCCAGGAGGACAAGCAGAGCAGGGAGGAGGATCGGACGCAACAAGTTGCAAGGCATCTCAACGAGCAGACGGGAGCTTGAGGAAGGAAGTGAGGGTGAGGAAAGGGTACGTCCCTCCAGCTGAGGACATTCAAGAGGAACTCTTGCGCAAGAAGCCAAGGACCGAAGAGCAGGACGAGGTCGATACCAACGAGACGAAAGCAGAGGACGTGACCACCACCAGCAGCAGCAGCATTACTTGTTGGGATGAATATTTGCATGCCTTCGGGTCCTCTGAGATTCGCAAGTGTCGTGAATGTACAGTCCATGCTTGCTCTGTTGGTTCCAATGCTGTCAATGAGGACAGCTACGCCATCGGGGAAGAGAACGTCTTCGCTGTGTTTGATGGCCATGGTGGCCCTGAATGTAGCCGCTGGATGGCAAGACACGTCATCTCAGAGTTTGACAAGTGAGAGAAGTACGATCCGCCGACAACCCTCGAGTCTGACAACAGGCTGCAGGATTTGTCCTCGGAACGGGTCTGGTGACGACTTGGATTCGATAGAGGAGATGTTTTTTCAAGCACCAAGAAGCCGAAAGAGAAGGAGACTGAGAAGCAGGAGATGAAGAAGAACCTCAAGACTCTCTTCGCGCGGCTGGACGATACCTACATGTCAAACTATGGCGCTCAAAACCCCTTCTGTGGGTCCTGCGGGTAACTTGCTTGAATCTCTTGCAGCTTGTCGCTGAAGAGCTCTAGTCTGCTATGCCACGTGAGTGGAGGGAGTATATGGTCAGCGAATGTGGGAGACAGCCGGTGAGAGCTGTTATCTCCGAGAACAAGTCGTGACATGCTTTCTTCAGTGCTGTGGTTGTTCGCCGTGCTGAGAATGGAGTCCTGAAGGCGATTCGTATCACATCTGATCAGAACACAAGTTGTGCTCGGGAGTGTGAGAAAGTTTGTAAACGATCAGGCGACTTTTATGCGATCAGGCTGCACAAAGACGACGAGCTGGCTCAGAAAGCAGACCCTACACTTGACTGCAAGAAGAGAGTCGCGGGAACCCTCATGGTCACGCGAGCTCTTGGCGATGGTTTCTTGAAGGACCCAAAACTTTGCCCTGACAGCATGAAAGACAACATGCCCTATATAACAAGCAAACCCCAGGTGAGGGAAACCGTTAGAGGAAGCAGCGACTCGTTCCTCATTATCGCCTCCGATGGAGTCTGGGACATTCTCGATGACAACGATGTCGCCCTCGAAGTCATGAACGCGTACAAGAGCAGCGGGTGCTCCTTAAACGTCTTGACCCACTCGCTGACATGCAAACATAGGGACTCAAAGAAAGATCATTCCCAGCCTGTGGAGACCAATCTCGCTGTTGCCGTGGCGAAGGCGGTGATTCAGGAGATGATGACTCGGAGATATGTGATGGTATTTCTGCTCGCCTTCTCCTCGCCTTCTCCTCTCGCTCTCCTTTCGTTCTTCTTGACTGTCTCACTTGTGGCAGCTGGCAGAGCTCAGTCAAATGAAAGCAACTGAGCGGAGGCATTATATCGATGACGTCACGGTGCTCGTAGTCGACTTGAAATCTTGATTCCGCCATTGCGATTTAAAGTTTGTTTTCTGCCCTCACTGATTCACATCGAGTGTGAAGTCCGGGACGAGAAGAGGTTCTTCCACTTGAGATTTGTCCTTCGACTTCCATCGAAGCCATGGGGGGTAGGTAAGGAAGAGAATCCCGCTGACAACTGCGATGCACAAGTTGATCCAATAGAATGTTTCCTGCTTTTGTGCAAGGACGGCTAGCGGCTCAATGGAGAAATTGAAGAGGCCGGAGATTGCGTAGAGGGTCCCCCACAGCTTGCCGAAGTTGTCATACCCAAAGGTAAAGGCGACAGTTGTCGCCATTGTGCCGAAGAGAGCGGCTCGGTAGTACGCGAAGAGGAGGAAGCCTACGATCTGGATCTCTGTCCTCGCTATGAGGGTGCACACGCTATGCAAGATAGCTGCAGCAGAGAGAAGAGCGATGCCGACCCACAGAGGGAAGTTATCCAACGTGTAGCCGACAGGAAGAGTCATCACCAGCCCCCCGAGTGGAAGGATCCAAGCGAACAAGCTGCAGAGGGACTGAACGACATTCTGCGACGGTTGTAGACTCTCTTCATAGTGCAATGCCTTGGCGTAGCCTGACAGGTGGAGGGTTCGAAGGTTCTCGTCAAAGGGACTCGAACTGTTTGTGAACCACATCATGCGCAGCTGATCGTCGACAGTCCCGATGTACAAGTTGATATGCAGCAGGTGGAAAGCAGTGAAGAAAGCGCACATGAGGAACTCGGCGCTTCGCACTTGCTTCCAGAACGAAGATGTCTTCAACGACGGTGCAGCAACTTGAGACGCATTTGTCGCACCTCGCTCCTCATACCGATCTCGCGGCCACAAACAGGGAGCAGTGATGAGGATAGCTGCAGGAGCAGCAACGTACATAGAGAAAGCGTCCTTCCTGGTGAAGGGCGTGTGGTCGGTGACAAGCTTCATGACCTTGAGGTTGAGAGACGAGACGTCAATCATCACGTTGAGGATCGTGATGATGGTCCCCGAATAGGCGGGAAGTAAGTTTGCGAGATGCATCATGGACAGCACAATGGGCAACCCGCCAACAGCCATAAGAATGTACCCGAGCATGAACAAGTCCATGGCAGAAGTCGAGATGGCGAAGATGAAGCAGCCTGCGCCAAACAACAGCGCTCCCATCATGCAGCAGATTCGAGGACCGAGAGAGTCGAGAACCTGAGAAGCCATGTCAACATGACAAGCTGAAAATCGCCTCTCACCAGTCCCGTTGGCCAGACGCAGAAGCAAAAGGCGCTGGTCGCGAGCGTGTACATCATTTGCAGCTGGACAGCCTGCTCCTCACAGGGAAACTTAGTTTGGCACTTGTAAGCGTAGACTCCCTCCTCCTGCAGCATAATTTGAAGCTGCTTGCATGGGTCACAACGAGGTGGAAGAGCAGGAGAGAGCTGACCGGGGCCCATCCGAACACAACTCCACTGGTGAGCACACTCTCAAGGGCTGCTACAAGAACCAAAAACACACTACTGCATGTTCCTGGAAGTTTGCGTGTTTTTGGATCTTCTATGGTCTGTTCATGATCGTGTTCATGGTTGGAATATCTTTCCAAAGGATACATATCAGGCAGAATATGTTTAGAAGCTCACAATACCCAGCGATATGATCTTCTGAAGGTTGCTCTGAATCTTGATTCATAGGTGAATAGAAAGCTTCAAGCTGCAAAGAGTAAGTTAGTAATTGGTGAAGAGCTTCTCTTATCTACATGGACAACGCTCTCATTTCATTCACTTCTCTCTCTCCCTCTTTCTGTATCTCTCTGTCTCCGTCTCTGTCTCCGTCTTTGTCTCTGTCAAACCATGCCGGGGTTCCAGTTATCTTTTTTTTTTTTTTTGGTGGCGCCAAGGAGTTTTAAAACCTTCAAGTTGTGAGCCTTTTCTCCGAGCCTCTGGCGGACCGGCGGACCGTCCGGCGGCGGCGGCCCCGGCAGGGCGGCCCCGGCCCGAGGGCCAGGCCGGGCTGCCATCAGTGAGCCGCCCGGATCATGTGATCGGATGTGGGTTAAGGATGTGACCGTAACGGTAGGCCGGCTCGGATCACTGACCGTACACACTGAGAAGAGTCGGATCAGCCCGGTGTGATCGGCCCTTCAAGGCTTCAACAGCGGCCAGGCAGTGCCGCCGGGCCCGGGGGCCATCCGACTGACCGGGACCGTACAAAGTACGGTACGGTACATTACGGTAATGCCGCATGATGATTTATAGAAAGACTATCCCGCCTCCCCGGGGACTACCGCCGTGGCGTTTCAATGATGATTTGCTAAGTTCAATTGTTTCAGCCCAGTGGCGGCACACGGCCCGGCCCGGCCGCAAGTTGCCCCTGTGGCGGCGTGACCGTTGACACGGCGGGTCGGACTCCCGGCGCGGCTCCCGGAGTCCGACTCGGACCGTGACCGTACGGTTTGGAGCCACGGCCCCGGGCCCGCCGGGGCCCGCCGGGTCCGGGCCGGGCCGAGTCACTGAGTCACGGTGGGCCCGGCAGCCCGGCCGGCCTCAGTCACTATGCCCAACGCCGGGTGGGACAGGGTGGCTCAAGGATCGGATGACATCTCAGACTTTACTCAAAGTTAAGTAAAAGATCAGGAGAAAGGTTCTGGAATTCTCTGTACCGGGTGAGAGGGACTGAGATCCTTCTCGTTCCTCCTGTTCCTGCTCCTGCAATAGTTTCCTGCTCCTGCTGCTCCTCCTCCTCCTGCTCCTGCTGCTCTTGCTCCTGCTCCTGCTCCTGCTCCTGCTCCTGCTCCTCCTCTCAACTTTGGACTGGATAAACCTATCCATTCCTTCGTCCTTGACACTGGCCCATGTCTAGGCTACAAAATCTGGGCACATATGCTTCTTTTTGTTTGGGGCGGATCGCTCCTATCAGGTCCTTGACAAGCAGATCTTTGAATTGCATCAAGCTCGACACTAGCAGAGGCATCAGATTACCTCTGCCTCGCTCCATCGTCAGCTCTGCTACAATTGGCAACGTATCAAGACCATTCGTTCTCAATTCTTCTGTTAGATCGTTTCATGTTGGGAACGTGCTTCTTTTACCAAAGAAACGTTCTTCACCCAAACTTGCTGACGAACAGAAATCAACAGACGAGGAGTATGAAAATACAACAGGCAGCTCGGAAATGAACCTGAACGTTGTTCCGGAGGTATCGGAAGTGATGATTCAAAGAAATCCCAGCAGTTCCGGCTCCACTGGAACAGAGCTGGTGCGTCAGGATCCGAACCAGATCCCAAAGGAGGTGGTTGCCATCCCCGTATTCCGTAGACCAATCTTTCCCGGGATCGCTACACCGATTGCCTTGACCAACTCTGATTTCAGTGAGACTCTCCTCAAGCTTAGAAACATCCACGGCAACAACTTCTACGTTGGTTTGTTCCTGACCAAGGACAACTATGATCGAGAAGATAGAACAATAAGCAGTGCAGACGAAATACATGAAATTGGTTGTCTTGCTCAGGTCCTGCATGTCCAGGCTGTCCATCCTATGGGAATACAGTTGCTGGTTGCTGGGACTGGGCGAGTACTGATCACTGGCACAGTGAAACGAGAACCGTTCCTGACTGTTTCAATTGAGCGCTTGCAAGACAAACTGTTTGATCCAAATGATAAGATCATCAAAGCGTACATGCTTGAAATCATGGCGACGGTGAAAAGTATTGTGAAACTAGAGCATTTCTTCAAAGAACAACTCCAGGCTATTCTTACTCAGGTACTTGCCGGGCTCTTCTGTTTCTCATCTAAGACATTTTTGTTGCAGGTGACCATACAAAATCCCTCGCACTTGGCGGATATAACTGCAAGCATGACTACTGCAGACAGAAGCTCATTGCAGGTAACTCCACTTTTCTTTTGTCATAACCAACAAATATTTGAATGATCAGGAAATTCTGGAATGTTTGGATATACAAGACCGTCTTACCAAAACCTTGAATCTGCTCAAAGTTGAGTTGGAACAGGTGAAGTAGCCACTTCGATTTCAAGAGCTTCCATGAAGACGTTGGTTTCCAGGCAGAAGTACAAAAGACTATCCACAAGCAAATGGAAGAGAAAATCTCCAAAAGTCAGAGAAAGCACTACCTTGCAGAACAGGTTTCTTAGTGCCTTAGTGTGTGACATAGAGTTTACTATTTTCGTTTCCAGCTCAAGATAATCAAGAAGGAATTGGGTCTTGAGGTTGATGAGAAGGTGTGGTAGTTCTCTGCTGCTCAAGTTTCGTACTGATTGTGGATCAGGAAGAGCTTATCCAAAAGATCAGCCAGAAACTTGCAGAGGTATCCAAAGCTTTCTGATTCATTTTTTGAGAATCTTTTTAATGATTCCTTTGAACCAGATCAATCCTCCTGAGGCTGCAGAGAAAGTGATCCAAGACCAAATGAAGAAATTGAGCATGCTCGAGGCAGCTTCATCGGTAAATTTGTTTGCACGAGTCAACGATTGATCATATTCAAACTGGTAGGAATATAATATGACGCGGTCTTATCTTGATTGGCTCATCTCAATACCATGGGGGGTGTCGACAGAGGTGTTGTAATTGGGAGGAAATCTGAAGCTATTAATTTAGTGAAATTCAGGATTCGTTGGATGTACAACGAGCAAAAGAGATTCTTGATAAAGATCATCATGGCATGAAGGTAAATACTTTCTCTGTTAGCATTTTTGTTGTAACAAAATGTTCGTGTAGGATGTCAAAGAGAGAATCTTGGAGTCGATTGCTGTTGGTATGCTAAAGGGGACAATCTCTGGAAAAATGTGAATTACGATTCCTGCATTGTAAACAAAGAATTCTCATGTAGCGATACAGTTTGTGCTTTAATGGTCCTCCTGGCGTCGGTAAAACTTCGATTGGCAAAGCGATTGCATCTGCTCTCAATCGCAAGTTCTTCAGATTCAGGTGCTCAGTTGCAATTACTTGGGTAATTGTTCTGACTTGAAGAAGTGTTGGAGGACTTTCCGACGTGTCAGAGATCAAGGGGCACAGACGAACCTACGTGGGAGGTAGATTTAAGTGAAGGTGTATGAGGATTTGATTTCTCTCTTCAGCAATGCCAGGGAAGTTGGTTCAGGCGCTAAAATCAGCGGGGAGGTGGATGCTTTTCTTGGAAGTTGCGATTTCTATTAACAGACGTTGCCAGCAATAATCCAGTGATCATGCTGGATGAGATCGATAAGCTTGGTAGAGGTTATCAAGGTGATCCTGCCTCCGCACTTTTAGAGGTGAGTGAAAGACTCTCAAGACAAGTTGAATGTTGAGCTCAACGCAGGTTCTAGACCCTTCTCAAAACTCTGAGTTTTTGGATCATTACATGGTACGAAAGCATTTGACATGAGAGACCGGAAATTTGTTGTATGGTGTAACCTTGCCCCAGGACATATCAATCGATTTATCCAAGTGTTTTTTCATCTGGTGATGACATCTGTCTTGGATTCAATCTGCGTGTGATGATCGCTGCCTAGCACGTCAAATGATCTGAGCACAGTCCCTGATCCTCTCAAGGATCGAATGGAGATCATTCAGGTGTGGACACGGAAGCACATGAGAGGCAATAACGAGCTCGATGTTCAGGTCTCTGGTTATGCTATTCAAGACAAAATTGCTATCGCCATGAATCATCTGCTTCCTAAGGGACGAGAGGAAATGGGTCTTACAGCTGAAAATAGGTTTCATTCTCTCGACATTTGCATATGGGGATGATACATCGTTGCAGTCAAATTCAGCCAGACGCGATGGTCGCATTGATAAACAAATACTGCAGAGAGCCAGGTAAGATTCACTGCTCAAACCAAGAATCTACGATGAGATTTTTTGCTAGGCGTAAGAAACCTTCAGAAGCAAATCGAAAAGTTGCTCCGTAAAATATCGTACAAAATCGCCACGAAGGAGTGCGATAAGGTTTTTGTTACTCGTAGTCACTTTTCTTGAAGTCATGATTCGAATGCAGGTGGAGGTCACATGTGAGAATTTGGAGTCGTTCATAGGCGCACCACTCTTCCCCAAAGACAAGATCTTTGAAACAACTCCAGAGGTTCGTTTGGAATTGAGATATTTCCTTTGTTTGCTCATTCGACACTGTCTTGAATATTTTCAAAATCGATTTTGTGTTCAAACTGAATTTTCTTCATGCAGGGAGTTGTCATGGGTCTTGCATGGACCTCGCTGGGGGGATCAACTCTGTTCATTGAATGCCTGCAGGTTTGGAGCAGATTTGCTTGCAGCTGACCGTTTTGTCCTTCTCGTCAGGATGTGATGGCCTGTCTGTTACAGGTATCAACAGCTGAAAAAGGAAATCTTCAGATGACCGGCAAAATGGGCGAGGTCATGAAAGAAAGTGCAGAAATCTCATACTCAGTCGCAAGAAAGTATGATTCAACGACCGTCTTATCTTTTTCGCACTGACATGCACAAGGTTTCTATCAAGAGCTTCCCCTGAAAATAATTTTTTGGAGAAGAACATTGTCCACCTTCACATACCAGAAGGCGCTGTGCCGAAGGATGGGCCGTCGGTAAGTAATTCTTTACTTTCTTGCTCCGATTCCTCATGCTTAAGATCAGGCTGGCATTACCATGGTAACTGCCTTACTTTCCTTGGCGATGAACAAGAAGATTGAGAAGGTGAGGTTAATCAGTGACTAAGCGATGCTTTGACGTCTGGACCTCAAGAAACTGGCGATGACGGGGGAGGTAACGCTGACGGGCAAGTAAGTAGATGATGAGAAGGACAAGCTTGAAATCTGATGAATGCTGTAGAGTCCTCCCTGTTGGAGGCATCAAGGAGAAAGTGCTTGCTGCACAGGTGAAGTAGAGCAGAGTAGAAAGTCATCCTAACGTCTATGCAGCGTGCAGGAGTGGAACAAGTTATCATTCCCATCGACAACAAACGTGACTGGGTACATGACAAAGAATTGCTGTGAGCGACGTGACTGTTAATGGTAGGAGGAGCTGGATGAGCAGATCAAAGAGAACATGCATGTCTCCTTCGCTTCTACATATGACGATGTGTACCAGACAGTCTTCGGCAGTAATTGATAAATCTTATCAAGGGTCATTCCACACCAACCCTTCAATCTATAGTCATGAAAAAGGAAGCACCACCCAACGGATCTTCGCTATCCTCATTCTCGTCGATGAGAATGATAGGTTCGATTTCTGCTCCTGCTTTCCCATCTCTCCTACTTGTGATCTCGGCGGAAGGGAGGGATGAGTCTTGCTCGTCATCTGAGCTGACTATCTCGATTGTCTCGTTTGTACTGTCTGTCCGGTGTGTCTGGGATACCTCGAATAGTCGCATTACTTCGCTTCTGATAAGATTCTTGTGCTCCTTCACAATTTTCGACCAATTACTCCCGAAATGTATGCTCACCCCGTCCATGACCATTCTCAAAGTAAGTTGATCCCTTTTCACTTGAAATGAATTCATGAACTGATGAATCCGCCAACAAAGTTTCCGCTGCAGCTGCTCATGGTCGTCAGGTGATAGAATCTCCTGCTGATCAAGAGTTCCGCATCGTTGACTCTCAACAACAACACATGCTGATTCATTTACCCGTCTCTCGCTTTGATCGCTCTTACATGCCGCGGCTTGTGGGTAACTTCTAGTTGTAGTCTTCCTTTTGCCTGTGACAGCTCCTGGCTTGCTTGTTGGTGGCATTTTTCTTTCCGATACTTTTCGTTTCTTTTTCTCTTTTTCCTCGTTTTCTGATTTAGTATCAGGAGCACTTGACCCGTTAGAATGTGAGGCTTGGAGTAGATCGATCTTGCAGCTATCAGAATTAACATCATTCTTTGCTGTGGATTCACTTCGATGGAATTTGTTTGGTATCAAATTTTTGGCGTGCAAATTCGAGTTCATGATTTTGAGCTTTTCGAGATTCTTCATCTTGGCAATTGATATGAGCTTCGCAAACTTTTCTCTAGAAGCTTGTTGAGATGAAGGGATAGAGTTTTCGGGCCTCTTGTGCATCTGACAAGACAAAGATCTCTGTGTGTTGCTATCTGATAGTGGTTCTGCTCGTGTCTCAGTTTCTCTCCCTTTCCCGGGCTGTAGTAACGACTTTTCTCCAACCATCTGACTGTGATGTTTATCAGCAACTGAAGTATGCTGTGAAGTGTTATCTCTTTGCAGCTCCGTTGGTTGACAACTCATATCATGACCATTGTTCAATGCTTGTTCGTCAGAAAACGCCTCGAAGCAAGCAATGCCCATGTAAGACCAGAGCTTACGACCTTGACTTTCATGCATCTTCAAGTGATTGAACGCATCATCATGACAGGAGCAAAGGATTTTCAGTCTGCTCCATTCTTGCAAAAGAGCTTTTGGCAGCAACGGAGGAGTCGAAGTCACCGAGATGGTTCGATGCCTTCCCTGAGCCTTTCCTGCTCGAACCTCCTCTGCTGTCCTCAATGTCATCCTTGACGTCAACGGCTCCCAAGCTTCTTCGTCTTCCTTCCCGCCAAAAATCTGCACAAGTTGGGATCCTGCATTGACTAACTTGATCATACCGATCTTGCTCCTGTTGCTCAGCTTCAGAAACAGCTCCCCTTGCATCCCTGAAAAGCGCCATGTTCTATAGCCCTCTTCTCGAAGCACTTCACCTCCTCCATAACCATATACTTCTGAGCTTGCCGTCAGAAAACTCAACTTCAACCTGTCGAGCGTCGGGAGAAGGTGAGTTGAGGATTGGTAATTCAACATCACAATCCAAACAGAAAAATCGTTCGTTCAAGATCTGTGAAAAACAAACGATGAGATGGAAGTAACACAAAGCATTTTCCTCATTCTTGTTTTGGTGGATCCTAGTCCAAACTGTCTCTGCGACGATTCATAATCCTAACCGTCGCTTCGCTATCATTTCTCAATTCATTCAAGCTATCCAGATTTCCTCGTTCTGAATTTCTCCTCCTTGCCTCCAATACAAGCTCTTGTCACTCTTGTCGTGCCATTTATCGTTTCCTCCTTCGCTTCTACCTACTTGCTGCTCTCCTCCCCCACTGCTTTCTTCCCCATCATCCCCTCAAATCCAGTGGCATGGCAAGCATGTCGCCGAGTGGCGGGAGTTTCCGAAGAACCGTTACTCCCTCCGTTATCGTCCGCTCGCCCTGGCACCGGGCCGGGCGGTGGCAACTTGAACGGTCACTGCGGTGAGTCATGCCGTTGTGCCGATGGCATCATGGCATCGATCATGGGTACCGGCGTACGTACAGAAGCGCGGCCCGCCCGGAGTCTACCGGCCCCGGCCGGGCGCCGTGTGGTGCCACTACTCACTACTGCCACTCCCCGGGCTGGAGCGGGGCCCGGAGGTGCTCTGTGGGGGTCTGGATAGAATTGAGTACGTTCACTGCCCGTTATTCAGTGTCGGATCAATGAACTTTGATTCTTAGAGACTCCGAGCCAGCGTCGCTCTGAGCTTTGGAATCGTGACAGCCTGACGCTCGACAAGCTTCGGGTAGTTCACCTCCGATTGTGAACCTTTCCGAAGCTCCGACGGCAGTGTCGGCGGCGCCGCAGTGCGGAACTTCGGAACGAGGCATCGGAAAATTTAACTCACTGTGAGCGAAGGCTCAGCAAACAGCACGATCCTATTGAGTTTCCCGATCGGACGGCACTGCGGCAGCCTCATTCTGTCCCCGGGACGATGACCGTTACATTTTGCGTTGCAGTCTGCGAAATTGATCACCCGCCCGAACCTTGTAATTCTTGAGCACTTTGACGACAAATCCCTGACTCCAAACGAACGGCAGGCAAAATACGCCGACTCGAACAAAGCAGAGCATAAAAAACGGCCATCGCCCCAGAAGCTCAGCTCTGCCATCGAAATATGATGAGGCACTCCGCCAAGGGGAACAGAGTTGAATTTCAACTGTTTTTGACTTTAAACCCATTGTTTCTGTATGTGCGTGTGTAGAACTGTCCAAAATCAAAAGTGAATCATCTTTTCAAACAGGATCTTACAAAGGCACCTGACAGAACAAGACCAGGAATGAGACATTCACCATAGCGACAAATATCACGGGAAATATCTCTGCTTTGCAACCCTTTGAAAGTGTTAAAGCGCCTCCTCTGTTTTTCAAATCTACCTTGCGAAATCGGAGGGAATAAGAAACCCCATCTTCAACAACTGAAAAAAAAATCAGATAGAGCTATGTTTCAATCAATCTCAAGACCTGCGATATCTTGAAAATAAAAATAATAGAATGACAGCGTAAAAAATCCTCCAGAGCAAAATTGAATAATTTGAAAGACAGTGAGATATTTCTACGTGAAGCATTATTCGTGATTGAATAACACGAAGTTTACCTTCCACCACACCGTTTTCCCTAGCGTAGCCATCATGTAGTAGAAATACATCACCACATGCACAGCGCTGTTGAATAAGCATCCAGTTCTTAAAGAATGCCTTGTCAGAGCAAGACAAACATATGAACGATCGAATCACATTATAGGCATGTACCATCCCTGGAACCCCAACCAGGCGGAAAACGGCACAATTGCATGATGATAGCAATGAAGAAAATCCAAAGGTTTCTTTTCAAACGTCAGCGGCAGCAGAGTGTTTTTTTTCATCACCTTTTTCAGCACGAGAAATATTGTGTCCAACAGCTCATAGTATTTGCTAAGATAAAAGAGGTAGCTCCTGCAATCATAACTCAGTGTTGCAGTCGTATAATTAGAAGAAGGGCAACCAGAAAAACAGTCGTCCATTGGGCGGCCCTTCCGCTTGCCAACAGAAAACCTCGAACATGCTTGTTTTCTTGACATCCTCTTGTTAAGCGAGCCTGTTGCACAAGGGGACTTACCTGCCAGTGTAGAAATGTTTCATAGCCCTGGCCAATCAAGATGGCGAGCGAGAATAACGAAAGCGCTCCATTATGGAGAGCATAAGGCCATTTTAGCTTCATAGGCTTTTTGTCCCTCATGATGTACTATGACCAGGTGATCAGCTTGTCTTGAGGCAACAATCATGAAGTTTACCTGCACTGCAAACAACAAAATGACATAGCTTATTCCAGATACTACGGGATACTTCCAGTTACTGAGCAACGCACTGCAGTTGAGAATTAGAGTGGGAAGAAAAGAAATTGGTGAAGGCTAACTCTTGTAACAATGCTCGTGATTACGTGATAAGATATGATTGGAGTAGATGAACAAGAACCATGTCATCAACTCCCGAAAGGAAGTGTGCCCCTTTCGCTATCGAAACAGGGAGTGTAGCATGAGAAAAGTAGCGAGTGTAAGAATCAGCAATCACAATAGACGAAAATTGGTATGACGACGGCATAATTGCTGGGAATGTACATCCGGTACCAAGATCAAGGGCGCATTACCGTTCGTCCCAGTGGAAGCCATCGCGAAATGACGAGAGCATGCTGCTGGGATGGGTAGGGGGATACAGGGGTGGTTGTCATGGGAATTTAAAAACCACCCCACCTGGTTTTTAAGCAACTAGGGGTGGGAGGGGGTGAATATAGGATGAGAGGGGGTGGGGGTGCAGGAACTGCTAGTTGTGACGGCTTGACTGGATGTAGAGTAAAGGTTTTAGTCAAGAATCCGACTCTCCGGCTCTGCCTCAGCGAATTTTTGAAGTGCACGTGAAGATGGCTTGTAAATGCTTAAAACTTTCACAGGAGAGGAGTAGGAGGAAATATCTGGACAGAGCATGAGGATGAGGAACAGAACATTGGCCATAGCTTCAGATGGACGAACAAGATAGAAATTCAAAGGAGAAGGAGTAGACACTATTTGTTCTTGTGCTTGACGCAGCTTACAACGTTGCAGGAACAAGAATGGTACTCCAACTTGATGTGGGAATAAACAAAGAAGACAGCAACAAGCTTCCTGCCATAGACGACTTCTTTGGCTCTTATGGAAAACACGCGAGCAATTTGGATGTACCATATCATGCCTCCATCATAGCTCGTTGAGCTTGTTTTAGGTTGAAAGACAGCACAATTCACCTCGCCAAACTGAACGAACCAAGAGAAAGGCGGTTCTTGAACCTGACGCACAAAAAGACAAAAGAACCAAAACAAAAACCGCCGCCAAGGCGTCATCTAAACTAGACAAAAAGATCGAAGCAAAGGAGAGTCAGGAAGATGAAGAAGAAGAGGAACAGGAGACAGGAGTCGACGCTGACTCAAGGGAGTCAGACGGCAATGAGGAAGAAGCGTTGGAGCGGACGCTGTTTGTGGGAGGAGTGCCTCTTGCATCTACGAGGAAATCGATCAAGAAGTTTTTCCAAGAATTCGGGTTCATCGAGTCAGTAAGAATGAGGAGTATTCCCATCAGTAATCCGGTGAACTTGAGAACGAAGCTAGTCCGATGCTCACTTTCGTGGTTAGAAATTGCCGAAAAAGACTTCTATTGCCTTGGGCATGGTCAATTCAGAAAGAGAAACCTGCAACGCGTATGTTCGCTTTAAGGTATTTCAAAAAGCAGCTGCAATAAGAATGACTGATTGTACCTCAGGAAAAGGGGTCTGTCGCGAAAGCGCTATCGAAGAATGGGTCTCTCATGGAGGGTCACAGGATCAAGGTATGTCATTCAACTTGAGTGTTGGGTTCACAAGGCCTTCAGGTTGACCATGCCAACATCTCAAAGAACTACAACGTTCGCTTGAGTGTTTTTGTCGGCAACTTGCCGTTCAACGCAGGCAAGCGATTCCACAAACATGTATTCAATCTAAAGTTTGCACAGAGGAAGAATCTTTACAAAAATTCTTCTCAAATTGCGGGGAAGTGACAAACGTACGAATCATAAGAGACAAGAAGACTTCGCTTGGTGCGAGCCATTCTCATAATGGATTCTTTCCTGAATCAAATGCTGGGAAGGGAAGGGCTTCGGATACGTCACCTTCACAAACGCAGAGGAAGTGCAGCTGGCATTGAAAAAGCATGAAGCAAAGTCAGTCTTCACGAAGGCAATTAGATTCTGATCTGCTCTGTCACGTAGATTTGAGGGACGAGCTCTGCGAGTGGTGAGGGCTGCCAAGCGACCAGCACAGACAGAAACTTCGAAAGGTTCCTCATGCAATATGAAATCTTCAAACGTTGACTCATGGATGTGCAGAGGACTCAGGAAAGTTTTCCGGAGCTAAGAGACGATTGCTTGAGAAAGGGAAGCAATTGGACGAGATTGACAAGGGGAAATCGAGCAAGAAAGCTAGAACAGTTCCACAGTAACAAACTCGCACAACTATAAGACTTTTGTCTCATGATTGTTTCACAGGTTCAAAGCCCCGAAGCCCAAGGGAGGGATCGTCAAGGGTGGGAAGAAACGGATGAGGGCTAAGAAAGCTCAACAAGCTGCACAAAAAGCAGCTAAAAAGATGACCAAGAAACGAAAGACTTAGATGCAATTCCTGTGGCTTAATCTCAACCTTTACAATGTACTTTCCTCAAAACAAAGTTGTTTCCAAGCGAGTTTTAGACAGCTGAAAGAGAAAAGGACAAAACTTTGCAGGAAGGTGTCAGGAAGAATCTGAATGCACATGGTTGATATGGGAGGACCGGGCCCCTTCCCGACGCATGCACATCCGCGGCGCGTAGGGAGAGCGCAAGGGGACCGCAGGAAGCTGCGAGCAAGTGCTTGGTATAGTTCAAACAACTTTCTAAAGAGGAGGTCGAAGCTGTTGTATTTTCTTTATTGACTGAAAAAGAAAGGCAAACCGGAGCAAACAAAGGAGGGGGAGGGTCAAGCCGACAAACCCTACTAAGAAACGATGAAGGCAGCGAAAACCACTCCTCCAACCACGCAAGCGACGGCAGATCAGGACAAAGAGCAGTAGCGCAAAGCTCATGCGAGGAGGACGGCAAGACCCATGCGAGAGCGATACTTGAGGATTTAGGGGGGGGTATAGGGTTTAGGGTTTAGCACTGAGTAAATTCGCAGAGATGCATGTGCTGGCCTGCTCGCTGAAGGTGGACAAGAAGGACCGAGTGGAGATGAGGGAAGATGATGAAGAAGAGGAAGACATGGAAGAAGAGCAAGGCGAGGGCGAGGAAGGAGACGGGGCGAGCCCGTACCGAGCTTGAGCTGCGCTGAGCATGAAGCAAGACAACACGGCGAAGTCGAAGAGCAACCGACGAGCCAGCAAGGTAAGCAAAGTAAGGAGAAAAGGTAGGACTCCGGGAGGCAACCGAAGGCCAAGGTGAGGAGAGGCAACTCTTCTGACTGAGGCTGAGGAAGCTGAACAGAGGAAGAGTAGTTCAAGCGGCCGAAGGCCGAGGGGAGGAGAGGCAACTCTCCCGACCGAGGCTGACTGAGGAAGCCAAGAGAAGATTGCAGAAGCTAGTAGAAAGAAGGAAGAGACCTCAGAAGCAGGGTTAGCATTGTAGGCCGTGTACTCCCAGTGCTCGCGCGCCTCTTTAGACCAGGATCAAATTGAGAAAGCCCACAAATGAGGCCAAGCAAGGACTTAGAGTTCAGGGTTTAGTGTTTAGTGTTTAGTGTTTAGTGTTTAGTGTTGAGTGTTTAGTGTTGAGTGTTTAGTGTTTTTTAGGGTTTAGGGTTTAGTGTTTTTTAGGGTTTAGGGTTTAGAGGGTCCTTATTTCCTGGCAGGTTCCTTATTTCCTGGCAGGTTCCTTA